GTTTTTATGTTGAATTATGTAAGGTGATGTTGAGTGCTAATAAATGTGCTGACAAATTATTATCATAATTTGTATTATTATTATTATTATTAATCTCCCTCACCACATACATTAAGTTCTATGCTGGTGAAGATTCTCAGTCATCCAGGTCATAGTCATTACAAAAAAGTAAAAAAAAAAAAATCCACTGGACTTTCTTTCCGAGTTTGAAGACGTTTCACTTCCCATCCAGGAAGCTTTTTCATATTCAAAAAGTCAGAAATAGCGTTGAGTTCAAGGCTTTATAGAGTGGACCAAAAAACAAAGCCACTCTACATAGCCTCAAACTCAACGCTGTTTCTGACACTTTGAATTGAAAAAGCTTCCTGGATGGGAAGTGCATTGTTTTTAAACTTTTTTCGAATGACCTTAAGTTCTAATTAGAGGAGGAAAAAAAAGTGTATCAATGATGCGCCCATCCCAACATGGTGATGTTTTAGTAATATGAAGGGTTGTTTTTTTATTAATATATTTTAAAGTTTGTAAAGTAGTTTCTGTATTGTCTATTCAGACATTTTGGATGTAGTTCCAGCTTTCAATGGCACTGTTGTCTACATTTCCTTGCATTTTCTATTGCTTGTCTGTTTTGGTCAATGGGGCCCAGTGGCAATCACCAAGAGTCTATAAGCCAAAAGAGGGGGGATTAAATCAACCTAACAGTCATGCTTTTGGACAGTTGGAGGAAGCTGGAGTACCTGGAGAGAAGCCAGGCATGCAAAGGGAGAACATGCGAACCTTATGCAGAAAGATCCTAGTCTAGGTTTCAAACCCAAGACCTTTTTGCAGCAAGGCAACATTTCTATACGCTACACAACCTGAAACCTTCATTTTCTGTTTGTTTGATATCTATGTTATTTTCAAGTGCTGTAGTAAAATCACTCTTGCAGTAAATAATTGATGCATCTTGTTTTGGAGTAAAAAATGACAAATGAAACTATTTTGTATGCATTAGGATGAATCCAAGGACACAATAAACAGAAAATGTGACATAAAGTATGATCGAGTAGAAGAGATATTTATCAAAGCAGAGGTCTCTTTCTCCTGTGCATTCCAATAAGATATTCCCTATAGCTTAAATGATCTGTTTCAAACATCTGAATTACCTCATTGGGATATAATAGAGCTTCAGACATGAGAGGTAGAGTGAAAGGGACCTCTCCTGAGAAGTGTGTGACATGAAGATCAAACTCATGTACGTTCAGTCTGCTGCAAGTTGCAGCACTCTAGATTTAGGCCCAGTCCCATTTCTCTCCTTTGCACTCGGTTTGGGCCCTAGCATTCGGTTTTGCGCGTTCATATGTAAGGGGAATGTGTCCCAATAGTTATACGAGCTAGGGGGAAGTGCCCTCCAACCCTTAAAATTATCCCTTTAGACCAAGTGAGGTCAGGAGCTGACTTGAAAAAAAGTAGCTTTTCAGAATACTTTGCAAACTCATCCAGCGAGAGGAGAAATGGTGTCCCGCAGTGGAAAAGATGGGCTCAAATGACCCTTAGACTCCTGAACTCAGGGTTAATAATAATGTGAGGCTATCTGCTAATGCTGGCCTACTGATCACTTTGCTTCTTCATCTACTGGCAAATCTGGTCACAGTGATTATCAATGTGAATACAGCTATCTTTGAACATCTGACCTGGTGCGGCAGCATTAGGGGTGGTCAGTCAGATTCCTGGGCGGGCGATTTAGGGGTGCTGGCATCCCTTCTGACCTTATTCCCAGCACAACAAAACTAAGACGTCGGGGGCTTATGAGTTTCTCCTGTCAAATCTGACAGGCTCTCATTTGCTTTCATTCAGCATCTCATCACAGCTTCAAAGCCGGGTGGCTCATCTCCCTCAGGGTTGGAGAGAGGAGATCAACCCTTCCTCAAAAAAATGACTGGTATCCAAAAATTTTTGACCTAAGGCAATTCAGTTCCTCATAATTGGCTTCTTCTTCATTCTGTCTGTCATGGGCAATCACTGCAGAGTTATGACGCATTATTCTGCCTGGAAAACATCATTAAGTAGATTGTGAAGAAGTGATTCAATAACATATCATTTTCTCTGAGTGAAGAAAACAGCGTTATTGAGGGCTGTACTCTTTGTAGTCTCCAGAACACTGAGGGCTCTCTTCTTCAAACTAATAATGATCCTGTTGCTCCAGTTGTGTAACCAGGTTCAAGGGGACTGATCCAGCACAAATTTTGTTTGGTTCCTGAAAGATGCCTAAAGGCCAGTAGTCTGGCACTCAGAAGGCGCATTCCTTGATGATCCAGACACATTTAAGTGTTAGGGTCGGCTCCTGCACAATCTTCTTTCTATTACTATTTCTTTAAGGTTTCACGTTGATATTTTTGTATCAAATGTTTGGAAAAAAACGGGGGACATCTTGGTTTGTCCTGATCCATATCCACACCTGGTGTCTGGAATCCAGCTTGCGCCTGTGGTGATCAGGTGTGGAGCAAAACCAGTAAGCTCATCTCATCCTTTCCTCAGGGCTGAAAGGTGAAGGACAGACAGAGAGAAGCCCACGACCTAAATGCCACAGCGTGGTCTCTGATAGGAGTTTAACAAAGGGGGCCTTCTTCCTCCCTCTTTTTCTTACTCTGAGCAGTGGTTCAAAGCTGTGCACATCCAACCACTGCCCCGGGGAGATGTTATGACAACCAGAAATGGTGAACAGCAGGAGCAAGAAGTGGCATGAACAGATTTCAGGGTTTCAGACATGAGAGGTAGGGTGAGAGGGACCTCTCTGGAGAAGGGTGTCGCCTGAAGACACAACTCATGTACGGTCAGGTTATCGCCAAAAAAAAACTGTCTGAGGTGAGCTGTGATTGCTGCGCTGAATGACGAAAACAAATACAGCTACCGGTAGTAAACAGGAATTCATGTGACAGCTCGTGAAGATAATTAACTTAAAATACTTTTCTTTTCTTTTTTTTTTTTACTTACATCCAGTACACTCATGTTCCTTTCCTTCCAGACACCACAGTGATGGAGGTTTGATATAAAGTGAATGAGCTGCGGTTTGGCTTGGGTACCAGGCGCACCCAGGGACAATATTTCTCCTACTTAATCACAAGAAAATTATTGTGAAAATTTAACTGCTGTTTCTGGGAAATCTAATCATGGCACCTTTACACAACTGGAAACTTCATAAACACCTTGTCTCTTTTCACTGAAATTAGATCATTGGAAAAGAAAAGTAAAAAGGCCATATCATCAACCTGGTTACCTTTAACTGTTTGCAAGGCAATGAACCTCTGGATGAACAAATCGAAATAATCTGACAACTGTCTGTGGGAAAAACAAAGCAAAGCATAGGAGCCAGTAAAGGAGAGCTGACAAAGACTTGCCCCAGGACATGCTTTCTCAGTCTTTCCTGTCACATGTCTACATGTCAACAGATTATACCTTCACTCTTGAAGCTTGAGGGTCAGAGAGATTTCTGTCAGCTACTACCTTTAAGAGAATATAAAGTAAAATGGAAACTGTAGCCTAGAGCCTGAGAGTTAAAGCAGTAAGATCTAGCAGCAAAAAAGCAAAGAATGGAAAAAAGAAACTTTATGTTTACAGGGCTTTGAAAAACTTTGTCTCTTAAAACTATTTGCCAATTTCTGCTTCTTTTTTCTTCTTTTTTTTTTAAACCAATTAGACCAGGAAAGTAAATTAAACATCAGATTTAGATAACCTGGGTAAATAATTACTACAATTAATACAATTTTATTTTACTTATAATGGAAAAAACTATCCAAACAAACAAAAAAGAAAAATAAATTTGATTACTAAACAAAATAAGTGGTTTTGCGTCACCTGATGCCAACAACTATTATAAAGCATTTACAACAACAAGTAATGAAATTAAATTGGGTTTATAACCATCTCCAAGTTCACTGATATTGTGCCTTTTGTTCTTTCCCATTTGTTTAGTTTCTTTAGAGTGCAGCATGATGCCATTTTCAAAATATATTTCAGCTTACTCCATGTAATAGTTATTTGCAAACTATATTCAAGGAATATGATGTAGATTCCAAAGGTCTTGCCGTTATCAAGCCTGGGTGTGGGTAGGGAAATTGAGCTCAGTTTTTTTTAAAGCTTGATTGATCACAGTTGATTCATTCAACACTGATTTATCAATACTTATTTTTCCTTTTTTGTTGTTTAGATTGTTTTTATTAAGGTGTAATAAAACATAAAAGGCAAATACCTTCTTTGGGCAGCGAAGTGAAAAAATGCTTTTACCTGCTCAGTGTTGCCCTGACTTTACTAAAATATTTGTTGGACAATAAACACACACAGACATGACTTTACACAGTGATTAATTTCATTTGAAAATATGATAAGAAATGGGAAGCAAATAAAATACACTAAATACTGTGAGATCAAGAAAGTCAATCAATCAATCAAAATGTTTCAACTTTCATATAAGACAAATAATGTACATGATAGATGCATGGCAAAAATATATTTCAACTTTTATAAAAAAGGAGATTGTATTTTTCTCATGGATATTTAGTATCATAAGATTTAAGTCCCTATCACATATATTTCACTATACACTTTAATATAAAAATGCATAATGTCCAAAAAATGCCATCATAGAATATAGTTAATAAACAAAAGATGTGTCGTCATCCATAAAAAAAGCTGTACATTACGGAAGAGGATTAGGGCCACTGAAAAGATTTAAAAACGTTGACTGATTTTTAAATTTTACTTTTAGTTTAATATGGGGGAAAAAAAAGAATTCTGATAGTAAAGTCAGAATTCTGACTTTTATCCCGTATTAAACTGAAATAAAATGTAAAAATCCGTCAACTTCATTTTATTTTTTAGTTGCTCAAATTCCCTTCCGTAGTAAATAGACCTATAATCTTGATAAAGCTTAAAAATGACTGTGACTCGTGATGCACATGAGAATAAATTTAAGTTGGAGTGAGCCGTCTTCTTTTTTTCCCTATCTTCCTCTCCGTTTCCGCTTTTTCAATTCCGTACACAAAGCTCAGCTGATGACGTGTACACACTGCTGTGCTGCTAGCGGGTTAGCTTAGATAGCTGTCAGAGTAAAAGAGGGGAAATATAAATAGGATTAAGAGAGAGAGGGAGGACGAAAAGCGTTTCAGCGAATCCATAAACATGGAGACGCTTTATCACCAGACAAACAAGTGAGTGTGACGTCTGCTTCCGTTAAAAGTGTAACTACTTTGTTAGCTAACTTAGCTTAAATCAGCTAGCATTGCAAGCGAATTAACTGTTCAAAATACAGTTGGACTAAAAAACACATACTAATAATAGCTGTGATAATTTATTTGACATATGAGCATGTGAGCACATAATAAATACAAAATATTAATATGATCGTGGTTTTTTTTTTATTCCTGTTCAATTATACCTTGTTTTTTTAAATTGGAATAGGCAAATCCATGAGGTGCAGTCTCAGATGGGACAGCTGGAGAGGACAGACCGTGATTCTGTTCACTGTGAGTAGGATAAAGATGAAGGTTAATGAACAGTTATAATGCCGTTCCACTGTGTTGCTGCCATCCCATCATCCACACTTCCAGTAAATGTTAAAACGGTTTCCTTGTTGTGGCTTCGGATATGCAGGGAGAGGACGGGCTGATGCCTCTCTGACTCCCTGTTCTCTGTGAATGGTGTCTGTCACATTAGCTCTGGGTCGGGACAGGAAGCAGTAGTGTGGGAGCCAGTGTTTCCACCACCATAGTCCCAACAAAAACTATGACATCACTTTAAATTTAACAAAAAAAGAAGAGAATCTTAGTAAAATCATAACACGAATCAAATTTTTACTATACAGCCTTTTAAAAACCATTAACAAGTAAGAAGATTTGTATTACATATTTTACACACATTACAAAACAAATTGTATTTGCAATGTTGGTAAAATGTTGATGTCCACCTGACCTGTATCTATCTGTTTTACAGGCTTATCCTAATTAAATATGTTGAAATTCCCACAAACAAAATGATTCTTTATGTATGTATAGAATAAAAATTTAAAGAATCTCAAATCCAGCTCAAGTGTGATTATTTAATTTTTCATCCGAAATAGTGAAATGTAGTCCATTTTCTAAATGAAATTTTCTTTTAACACAGAGAAAACACTATATTCTATGGAAGACGATTAGGGACACTGAAAAAATGAAAAAAAGTTGACTGATTTTTACATTTTATCTCAGTTTAATATGGGGAAAAAGTCAGAATTCTGACTTTAATCTTAGAATTATGATTTCAATCTTAGAATTCTGACTTTTTTTTCTCCGAATTCTGACTTTAATCTCAGAATTGTGGATCTTAATGTAGATGGGCATCATGAACGAAGAGATGTGGGAGCACTCAGCTTCACTGACTAAGGCTACGTTCACACTGCAGGCCTTAATGCTCAATTCCGATTTTTTTGTGAAATCGGATTTTTTTGCGTGTCCGTTCACACTTCCAAGTATATGCGACTTGTATGTGATCTACTGTGTGAACTGAATGCGTCCAACCGAAGTGTCCCGCATGCGCACTCGAGGACGCGATGACGTCACACGTAGCAAGCGTCCTCAGTGTTTGCGGAAGTAAACATGACTCGTAATACCGCAGCGTATATTGCGTTCTTTAAGTTCTTCTCCAACAGGAGCAGGCACATTACGAACGAAATCTTTTTAAGAAGATCAAAAAGAAAGACCCTCCCCCGGTTCCGGTAAGACCCTTCGAGTTTGGTCTGAATCGAGCTTTCTAAATATGAATTAAATCAGCAACCTCACTTTCTCTCCATTGACTGCTCTCTGTGTTATCTTCCGCCATGGTTGTTAGTTTTTCCCGCCTCCGCTTAGTAGGACGCAGATTAGTAACGTTTAGTAATATTTGTCAAGTATCAATGACGTGTAGGTCGGATGAATGCGACCTGGCCGTACAGACACAGGTCGCATTTGAAAAGATCAGATACGTATCGGATTCAGGACCACATATCCAAGTGGCCTGGGTCGCATTTGAAAAAATCCGATCTGTGTCGTTCAGACTGTCATAAAAAGATCAGATACAGGTCACATATGGGCAAAAAAATCGGAATTGGGTCACTTCAGGCTGCGGTGTGAACGTAGCCTAAGATGGCAGTTGTTTGGGAGCGCCAGTGACACATTGGTGGAAAATGACGCAATTAGGCAACTTTTTATGTGCTTGAGGGGTCTCTAGTGATGCTATTTCATTAATGGAAGAGAAGAGGGTGATTAAAACAAAAGAGCTAATCTCTAAAACAGACACAGCTATGGCTTGATGCTAACATGTTTGTTAGCTGTCAGAATTCTGACTTTTTTCTCATATTATACTGAAACAAAATTTAAAAATCAATTAACTTTTTTTTATTTTTCCAGTGACCCTAATCCTCTTCCGTAATATTCATTGGGCAGAATGTTAGTTTTATTTCTTAGCCGTCTTGCTCTCTTGGATGTGTCAAATTGGACAGAAAGCAATATATTTTTATTGAAAACTGTCTAAATCTAAGTAATAGTAGCTTATGAGTATAATTCCACTAATTAAAAACATTTACAATGTGAAAACCAAAGAAAAATGGAATTTTGTTTATATGTATCTTAATTGTGAATATATCTTTATTTTTTTACCTTTGGTCTGATGTTCTAAATATATTTTTTGTTCCTCGTTTCAAGTGTTAGAGAATGAACTACAGGCCAGAATCGACCAGATCTTCAACCATTTAGAACGCCTTGAGATTCTGGCCAGTAAAGAACCGCCCAACCGCCGCCAGAACGCCAAAACGTGAGTGTGAATTCATTTAACTGTTAGAAGGCTTAGATCTGGAAGCGTAAGCTATATCTCATAAAGTCACAGGGTGGGTGCACAAGACAAAACAGCTCTGTCCTGCCCTGTGGCAACATGGCTCTACAAAAACATTTCCTCTGAAGCCTCGTCATCACCAGCATTCCTGCTGCATCGGGCAAAGATTCATCTCTGACTTGGATAAACAGGCCTAAGGGGACAAAGATCACCCATAGCTAAGCTTTCCTCAGATCCTAGAAGGCCTGTAGGAAGACCAACGTGAGATGAAACGGAGGGCCTGGGAAAGACTAGAGATTTGAGCTCAGAAAAAAATCCCTTTAATCAAGAAACTATATAAATACCTGAATGTTAAGAGAATTAACACAATCATTTTCATTTAATCTAATGTAGAAACATTAATTTGAAAAGTAAAATTTGAACAATTGTGATGAAAACTTATAGAGGTCCTTTTTATAATCGACTGTATAGTTTATAACCATTAAAACAGATTTTTCTTTTCCATCAGACGAGTGGATCAGCTGAAGTATGATGTTCAGCATCTGCGAACTGCTCTCCAAAACTTCCAGCACAGACGCTACACCAGAGAAGCCCAGGAGAGAGAGAGGGAGGAACTCCTCAGTCGCAGCTTCACCACAAATGTGAGCTAAATGTGCCTGAATTCAGGCTATGGTGCAAACTGGTTAATCAAGAGCCACCTTGATCATGAAATCCATATTTTGTAGAAATTCCCTACTGAAGTTTTAAACAAGAATTTGCAATGGCACTAAGCTTTGAAAAGCTTCAAAAGTTTTCACCTCTTAGCTCTTAAAATTTAGGGATGTCCTGATGCAACCTTTTCATTTCCGATACGATGCCGATATTGACCGGATAAGATATCAGCACGTATTTTAACAGCTGTTATTACTTATGTTATACTGTGGAATGTTAGAAAAGGCTTAATCAAGTAATATAGCTAAAAAGGTAACAAAAGGCAACAGCAAAGGTATGAATACAACTGACCCATATAAATTTAACCAATAGGTTACAGAAACCTTTAACAGAAACTGTTTTTTTTTATTGATTTTAGACGCTGGCTGATAAAATCCAATATTAGTTTTTTTGGGTAATATCAGACCAATGTAATATCGGATTGGTACATCCCTACTAAAAGCGTATGGTGAACTTGTTTTAGCTTTCTTATTGCCACTTTTTCCTTATGTTCTCTAACAAATTTCTGACTCCTTTACAAAATATCAGTTTTTATACTACAGTATTACTATATTTTTCTAAAACTGTTTAAAAAGTAAATGTTATTTTCAGTTCCTATGAACTACTACTTTGGGTTGGCCTGGTACATGAATGTGTGGCTCTAACTGTAGGACTATAAAGACTTGTTTTTGTAGTGACAATCTTTATTGTAATAAGATATTTTTATGGTTCCACAGGATGCAGATACTGCCATCCACATAGATGAGAACGTGCAATTTAACAGCAGTTTGCAGAACGCACACCGAGGCATGGATGACCTCCTGGGCAGCGGCAGTAGCATCCTCAATGGTCTTAGAGATCAAAGATCGACCCTCAAGGTGTGTGCACATCGAAAAAGTTATTTTCCTTTCTGTGTATGAGCTACATTTGGGTGTTTCAAATTAATATCTAAAAAGGAATATAATTACATCCCTGACTTGGCTTCTGGTGTCCGTACTGTTCTTAGTAATTATCTCATTGTTACTAAGGGTGTTCTGAGTGGGTGGGGGGAGTCCTTGTTTCCAGGGAGGAGATGGGCTTCCTGGCTTTGGCCTCAGCGTCTTATCAGGGTGTGACTGCTGATCAGCACTCTCAGCCCGGCAGTCCTGCCATGAGAAACTCCTCACAGAGTGCTGGAGACACCGAGGCGGTTGGCCCTTTCCCAACATCAGATGAATTAGTGTAGATAATGAACAATGAGCTGTGCCTACGCAGCTGCTGAAGTCATCACACGTGATAATTGTTGCTGTCGTTAATCCTTTTCTTTTTTTTTTATGTACAGGGAACACACAAGAAGATGCTGGACGTAGCTAACATGTTGGGCCTCTCCAACACAGTAATGAGACTAATAGAAAGACGAGCCACGCAGGATAAGTTCATCATGATTGGAGGAATGTTGCTGACCTGCGTCTTCATGTTCCTCGTCATCAGATATCTGGGCTGACCACTATCCATCCACTACACTGGATCAGTTTTGGACATTTAAGGAATGCATCGTCCCACAGGATATGAAACTGTAATCTTTAAGTAATTTTTATAAAAGGTGCCATTATTATTGTTTTGTTTACTTTCAAATTCTTCGCTTCATTCTGGATACATGCTGAACGGTTACGCTGAATATGCTCCTATTTAGACAGTATTTTATCAGTCTACTGCTTTCCATAGACTAGCCAACATGTTTTCTTCAAACCCACGTACAAACTGATCTTGCCTCCTTTTTCACAAAAAAAGACTGAAATGTCAACATGTGATTGAATCCACAAATCTAAAGGGTATTATAACTTTAGTTTCATTCTGCTAATGTTTCATAACCTGTTATCTAACATCCACTTAGTTATGTGATGTCCACCATCATTGAACAGTTTGATTTACCTGCATAAAACAATAGTTTTTCAGTTGGTGGAAAAGAACAGCTGGGATAATTTCTAATTCTGAAGATTGCATAAGCCTGAAAAAAAATGGGGAATCACCACTTTAAAAAAAAACTCATTATCTGAAGTTCAGTAAGAATATTATCCATAGTGTTTAATGCTCTAGCTGCACATTTATATGAAAAATAATTTCTGGAAATTATATTAAAAATATTTAAATATTAACTTGGTCTACTTGTTTGTTACCAGCAGAGAAAGTCATTGCAGTCTCTTGGTTTATTACATCACAGCTAATGTCTGCAGATTTTCTACACAAGATCAATTGGTTTTACTGAACCACCACAAAATCATGTTTTACTTTAAACACAGATTCAGATTTTACTATAAATTGTTGTAAATTATTCCCTTTGGAATAACTTGTTTGTTATGTTCACTTTTCTGCATGTTCTCACATCCATGGAGGTTAAATTCCACATCTGTTGTGTGAATCTACAAAAACAAAGCCAGTTCTTTTGACGGCCCCATAAATCAAGCTGTACATTTCCCTCGACAGATGTCTTTATGTTCTCATACCTACTTTAAAGTTTGGCACCACTTATATCAAAATATGCTTTTTTTTTTTTTTTTTTTTTCAATGTTCCAATTTCCATTTTGGAGCATATTCACGTTCACCTTCTCATTTTTAACCAGTGTTATTTGCACATGGAACTGTGAACTTTACTTTCCAACTTATGCACCCCTTGCATTGAAAAACTTCTCAAACCCTATTTAGATTTTACATTTCACAAAGTGTACATGTAAATTAATAATAGAATAAATCATACATTTTGTGATTTGCAGGAGTAAATTTGAGGAAAAGATTTCTGTATTGATAAACATCAAAAGGATTCTTTTTGTGTGTGTGCTAAACCTGAGTTTTGATTGTATTCCGGAGCTTTTATTTATCTGTCAACTTTAATAACTAAACATTTAAAGGGTTAGTAATAACCCTAATCATCTGTTAAAGACATTTAAGCATTTACCCAAATAAAAAAATATTTTCTTTCCTATTTTATCATGGTTGAGCTGATTACATGTCCTTTAAATAAACCATTCGAGCTTTTCAACATGTTCCAGGTTCAATATGATTATGTAGGTATTAATAGGATCTCTTAGCTTTTTCAATGTAACTATGGCGCCACCTAATGTTTTCTGTTGGTACCTGCAACATTATTTGAATTATTTGTCCAGGAATGATTCTGAAGGTGGGAAAAAAAAGCTTGAGCAATGGCACCGTTACACACTGAAAACAAAGACATATGGACTCAAAGTTTTATTTGTTGAAACAGTTATGTTTTTAAAAAATACAGTCACAACTTTAGTTTTTTTTTTTGACAAGTAATTTGTCTGCGATCCCAGAGGGAAGGATTTCATAACCAACCTTGATAAAATACGAATCCGTCTTGTAACTTCTAATTCACCTGCTCAACCGAGAGCAATGTCAACCTTTTTTTTTTGTTAATAGGTTAATCTACAGCATTTTTATTTACAAAATTACAGAAAAAAGCCAAACAATGCTCTTCCTCTGAAGAGCATTTTGAAAATAATTTAAAAATAAAAATACAATTATTGCAGTATACTACAATCGTTACATGATGCAAAAGCACCATCCTAATGTACAGATTTCAGTGCAATTCATTCACATGTGCCCCTCTGTGGGGAAACAGGAGCTTTGCCTCAGTAACAGATGTTAAAACCTCTTTGCCATTTTTCTTCAAATTCAGGACTTCTTTTGAGCGTCATACCAGTTTAGACACCATAGTTATTTTATAAGGTTATTAATGGCTGTCTTCTTCACATTACACACTGATATATGTACAAATTACACAAACGAAAACCGCTTTGAGACCAGAAAATAATGAAAAGCAGAGTGTTATATGGGGAAAAGTATCAAACGTCAGTGAGATGTTGTAAATCTATGGGCACATCTCAAAAGAAGAGAGCTGAAGCTGTTTGCTTCTGTAACCGAATCTCAACACGATCCTCAATGCCATCTCTGCTATTATGAATCTCTTTGGATGCCAGAATTAGCTAATAATCTGATTTCAAAACGAGGAAAACAAAATAATTCAGTGGTAAATGTGGCTGTAAACTCAAATTGGTTGCGAAAACAGTCTCTTTACATCTACAAACTCGCCTTCATAGCAGGAAACATGGGGAAAAGGAAAATAATAACACCCAGATGAACCAATAGAAAATGCTAGTGTCAACTTTTTAACAAAACACAGCTAAACCATGTAACGCCCACTTAGTTGGTGGAATAATGCTTTTACCGACATGTCTGACTTCCTATATAGAGGAAAAGCTTCATCTCTATCCCTAAATCAAGATCGTTGCAACGCTCTGTCAGAGGCTAAGTGTTCATATCCTGTTCCTAATCTATTATCCCTCATGAACCGTGGTTAGGAGGGTGTTGGAGGTCCTGTCCCGAGAATATTGGGTGCAGAAGTGGGTGGAGCTGGAGAGCTGCTGCTGCGGCAGCCTGAGATGGCCGAGATGCAAATAGTGTTGGATAGAGGGCCGCGTGTGGAACATGGTGGAGCGCCAAAGGTGTGTGGTGAAGTGCAGAGGCAGGGATGATATGAATAGGCTGCCCAGAAAGGAAGGCTGTATGGTGTGCAGGAATTAACCCCGCATGCCCCAGAGAGTGTCCCAAAGAATGACCAAGAGACGGGCCTAAATGGGACAAGGAGATGGGAGTGAGGTGGTGCTGAGGAATGTGATGCACCTGGGCCAGCTGGGCGTGTGCAGGGTGGGGGTGGTGGGCGTGTGCAGGGTGGATGCCCATTGCTGCGGCGGTGGCAGCATGGTGCTGCAAGATGGCGTGTTGGACAGTGGTGATTGATGTGCCCGAGGCTACGGAGACCGTCGGTTGCTGAATGTGGATCTGTTGCAGGGCTGGAGGAGGGGGAGCCGGGGCCAAGTTAGCTGCCGCTGCAGCAGCCGCCACCGCGGCAGCAGCCGAAGGGAAGGCCTTAACCTGCTTGGCCAGAAGCTGCTGCTGGATATGCTGCTGAGCCGCCTGCTGTAGTTTGCTGTATTTCTCCATCTCCTCTGGGGTGAAGGTGATAGGCTGACTCTCCAGAGGAGCCAGGCCGTCCTCTTCTGCCTCGATGCCGTCCTCCTCCAGATTGGGCGGAGGGTAGGTGGGGTAGCCGTGCACTGCAGCCTGCTGTTGCTGCATTTCAGGCATGATGGAGTCCATCATTGGGTTCTGCGAGGGGTCTTGACCTGGTTCAGCTTGATACTGGGGCATCATCATGGAAGGATCTTGTTCAAACAGTGGCTGGGCTTCCTGGTGAACTTGCTCTTCGACATTTGACTGCGCTTGTGTCTCCTGCGCAGTAACTGTGTTCTGTGGGACCTCCTCCACCTTCTGCACCGGTGGGGCTGGGGGTGGGGGTGGAGGAGGGAACTCTCTTATAGGTTCTACAAGGATAACCTCCCCATCTGCTTCAGAACCCTTTCCAGTTCCTGATTTCTCTCCCTCGTCGGGTCTTGTCAGGGGAATCAATGGTTTCTTCCCTGCCTGCAGCTTCCCAAAAAGTGGCAGCATGGCTTTGCTTCCCAAGGTTGGAGGTAGTTTAGGACCAAAGTAACCTGTTGGTGGGTCCTTAATCTTAAGCCCAGACTTTGTTCCAGAATCCTCAGAACTTTTCTTGGACTGCACCCTCTCCAGCAGCTGCCGCGCCGTCAGCATATTTTTGTGCTCCCCTGCATCACGAGATCCGACCGGCCTCAAAGTCTGAGAGGAGGATGCATGGCTGTTCCGGTTAAAGCTTCGTGACGATGAGCGAGGAGACTGGGAGCGATAGATTCGAGAGTGGTTGAAATCTCTGCGATGCGTGTCGCTGTCGGCTCGGCCCCTGATGGATCGTCTGTGAGGGGAGCCTTTGTTGGAGCTGGAGGAGCGACTCGCTGAGCTTCGGCTTCGGCTGTAGCTACGCCTCCATGACCTGGTGCTGGTGCTGCGGCTCCAGCTGCTGGAGCTTCTGGAACTGCTGTGATGGCGACGCCGGTGATGCTTCCTCCTGCTGTAGCTGCGTGAACGTGAGCGGGAATCGTCCGACGATGAAGAGGAGTACTGATGTCTCCTGGATCGCCTACGACCTCGGCTGCCTCTCCACTCGTACTCGGACTCTGAGGAACGTTTGGAGCGCCTGCGCCGTCGCCCCTCTGTGCTGTAGTCGCTGTAACTGTCTGAGTAACTGCGGCTACGGTGACTGTAGGCACTGCTTCTTGCCGAGGAGCGCCCAGAGCTGCTAGAGTAAGAACGGCTGCGGGAGGTTTGGCCGCGATGGCGTCGCCGGCTGCTGCCACGTCTCTCCCCACGTCTCTCCCCACGCCTTGACGAGCGACTGCAGGACCGCCTGGATTCTTCACTGTGATGGCGCCGCTGCTCCCGTGGGGTGGACCTGTGATGGCGCGAGCGCTGGGTGTTAGAGCCGCCATCTTCCTCACTCTCACTGCTAGGTGGTCTGCCGTGACCCGGACTTTTTTGGGCGGAGGTGGAGCAGGAGGCGCTTTGCGATCCACTGGAGTCGGTTTTTTGTTTTTTGGAACCGCTGTGATCTTCGGGTGGGCTGGTCTTATCGGTTTTTCCACTTCCTCCTTGTTCTGCTCCAGACTTAGAAGGCACTTCCTTTGGAGCACGTTTCCTTTTACCCAACTCAGCTCCTGTGGCTCCTCCCCCTCCAGTTGGGGGCTGAACAGAGGAACAAGCAGCTTTTTCTTCCGACTTTAGCTTATTTTTTTCTTTTTCATCCCCGGCAGCCTCTTCTTGATCTTGAGCTTTATTTTTGCTCTTTTTCCGTTTGTGTTTCTTCTTCTTTTTAGGTTTTTCTTCAGCCACCTCGGCATTCTCCTCTGCATCTTCAGCTATGTCCTTTTCTTTTCCTTTGCGTTTTGAATGTTTTCCAGACTTCTTATGCTTCTTTTTCTTCTTCTTCTTTTTGGTACTGCTGCTTGCAGTTGTGGCTTTTTGCTCATCAGATTCAGGCTGGCTGGGATCTCCCTTCATTGACGGCTTGTCTTTATCAGTGCATGCTTCAGGTAGAGGTACAGCAGCTTCAGCTGTTGGAGCAGCTGTGTCTTGTCCTTTCTCATCAGTCTCTTCTCCAGGCTTGCGGGACTTTGCTGCTTTCCCACCACGCAATCCTTTGTTTCTTGAAAGCTTAAAGTCAAAGTAGAGAGGATTGCAGCTGTAAGACAGTGAAGGCTGAGCTTTTGTAAACTCAAGAAGCTCTGTAGGCCACTGCAAAGTGGTACTTTCATCTTTGCTGAGGACAGGGAAGAAGGGACCCATTGGGATTTTTGGACCAGTGTTTGAGTCGGGTGTGCTCTGGCTGTTCTCTGGTTTCTGAGTGGGAGAAGAGGGAGCAGCAGAAGCCGTGTCCAGAGCACAAGAGACATTTTCCTCCATCTTTACTTTAGGTGACAAAGCAGGCGGCTCTATGTCGGTTGCTGATGTATCTTTACCTTCTTCTTTCTCAGTTGTGGAGTCTGTAACTTTGGATTCTGTCTGATCAGAACTTTCTTCAGCCTTTTGAACTTCCCCTGCTTCTTCCTCTTCTTCTTCTTCGTCATCTTCTTTGCTCTGACATTGCTCCAAAGCCTTCATAAACAACAAAAACTGGAAGTGAGGCTTCACCCGACAATGAGCTGGAGGTACGTAGTGATAGTACTGAGGTTCTTGTCCAGAATATCCTTCATCCTTTTTCATCATCATCTTCAGTTTGTTTAAAGTTGAAGCCAGTGAGCCACCGTCATCAGGCTGCTGCACCTCTTCTGCTTCAGCCGCACCGCCTTTCTCCCCTCCTCCATCTCCTTCAGGCGCTCCCTTAGGACTCTCTGTGCTGCAGGCGGATGTCTCCTCCTGTCTCCCAGCCTTTTCTCCCTCCTGATCCTCATCTTCCTCTTTAGCCTCCTCGCCATGATCAGCGAACACAGCAGCTGCAGTTTCCAGCTTTACGGGGGCTTTCTTAGCAAAAGAGAACGACACGCTGACTTTTGATCCACTACTGGGGGTTGGGGATGAGGATGTGCTCTTCCCCAGTGAAAAATTGATAGTTGGGCTGGGCTTCGGGGAGGATTGGCCAATTTTCTCTGATGGCGATCCCTCACGGATGGCATCTGTCAAAACAGGGTTCTCGAGTGCAGCGCCTTCACCATCTCCTTCTTTCTCCCCGTCAATAGCGACTGTTGTCGTTTTGAACATAGGGCCACTTCCAGGAGTACTAAAATATTAAACAAAGGTAATTTTATTGAGGATGTGGCATTAAATGCTTTGTTTTGACACATATTTAATTGTTTAAGTTTAGCCAGCAGAGGGCACTGCAGTGGTATGTTCTTACCGGTTCTGTTTGTCCTGTTTCCTCTGCTCTGCCAGCTCGTGCAGTCGACGCAGCATCTTCTCTTGCTTCTTTCCATCTTTTCGAGAACGGGAGGAAACATTGCGTGCAAACTCTCTCTGCTTCAGCTCTTTTAACCGCTGCATCAAATTAAAGAGGACACATATTTACTGTACTGAAGACATTTAAATCATTCAGCTGTTCTTTGTTTAAATGCTTATCAAACTTAAACTTTACCAGACTGATCAATCCTACTGTTTAGAGTTCTTTAAGATAATAAATACCTGTTTGTGCGCATGGTCGTACGAGTTAATGTGGTTGTCAAATTCCTGGTGTTTGGTGTACTGCTTGTCACATAGTTCGCAGTAGAAATTTGCTCTCAGGTCTTCCAGAGCTTTTGCGATAGCCTTCTCCTTTTCCACCTGGTCCTATATTTGGTTAGGAATACAAAGACATTTTGAAAAACAGATAAACAACTAATTATTTAATTTAATACATGTTCAAACTAATCAGCTTTTAGGATCCCACCTTGTATTTTTGTCGAAGCTCTTCTGTATCCTCTTTTTCCACTTCAAGCACTCTCCGCTTTTCTGTGGCATCCTCTGCATAGTCCAGCTATAAGGACAAACACAGCAGTTCCAGCACTTCCAGAAAACAAAATAGCTTGTGAGTCAACAACAGCAGTGTGCCACCTGATAGGCCACTTCTAAATTGATGAAGTAATACAACACGGTTCCTACAGCATAAGGCAAGTTAAATTCAAGACTTTTTAATGCCACTTGAAATAAAAATTTAAGACCAAATTCACAAGAAACACAAGAAAAAGCTGCTTGCGACAACTTAACCCAAAGGTTTATTTTAAAAGAAACCACTGCACTAATGTTTCAAATTTTGAAAAACTTTCCATACAGGAAGAAAGCTAAAAACACACAAATGACAGATATATTTTAATAATTATTTAACTGAATTCACAAACTTTCTTTTAGAAGAGAACAAAACAAATCAGTTTTAAAGCCACAACATAAGAAGCGCCAAGTCTTTTTTGCAGCTATTTTTCTTTGTATCGTTTTATTAGTATGTTTGATTTGGTGATGTGGAACAAAACTGAGAAATACCGGCTGTTTCTCGGTAACTCTATTTTGACGCTTTGTGTTTCGCGCTTCGCATGTGCGACTCCACTGCCTTAATTCCCATCGTTCCAAGCTTGAATCGCTTCTTGCACAAAATACACTGTGCCTCATGTATGTTCCCTGGTACTGGTTTTAGCCATGGAGAAAACTCTTGGCTGGATAACCAATTTTCGTTACATTTACACTTGCTCATATTTTCCAGACAAAAAGTTATTGGCGCATCTCCCAAATGTCCCGGCCGCAACAACGCTTTTATTGGTTCCGCTATCGGGACGGAACCAATAATGGCGAGTCGTTATTTTTTTTTTATTAAAAAATGGTCAATTTTAATGTTTTATTTACATTACAAAAATAAATCGTAACATTTATGATGTTTTAAAAATTAACACCTACGAAACACTGATTTAAGACATTTTAATACCAATTAAGGCCTTAGTTTTATTTTGAAGAATTCAATGCCTTTTAAGACTTTTTAAGGACCCACGGGAACCCTGTACAAGTGTCAGTGACAGTATGGAGTACATTTCTGTAGTCTTGAAAATATTTTAATGTCTCAAAATGAAAAAGTAAGGGAAGGTTTAAAAAAACCTTAGCCTGTCATGACAAAATAAAGGTCAAACATTAACCCATGTTAGGCATTAACACTTAAAATCGCAGCGATGCATTTTTACTTAAGGATTTGTTAAATATGGGAGAAAGACTCAAATGTAGGCATTTCAGTTTTATCTAAAGTTCAAGTTGAAAAATAAAATGAGAGAACGAACAAAAGCTAAAATAAGTTATCTAAAAACAAACTGGTTTTTTTTTAGTTGTCGTCATATAGGGCCATAAAGTGCTACAAAAGTCAGGATACAGGTGATTTAACTCAATCATATGTTTTCAGTTTGCAGAAGGTAATGAAAAAATATATATATATTTTAAGACTTTTGGGACAATATGGTCTGATAAAGAGTACATTTATATACATGTTTAAGCCAGAATGATTTGAAATTTAAATATGACTTCCCTATGACTTTAAGCATTTATCTCAAAAAGTTGTTGAATAACAACACAATATAACGGAGGCCATGGCACTATAGGAGAGTTGACCCCATGCTATAAATAATTTGACACTGACAAATATGGAGTTGCTGATATCACCATTTTAAAAAGGAGTGTACTTGCGTTTGCTGCACTCCAAGTTTGAGATCAAGTTATTGCACCACAACATTTGTTTCTCAAAGGTAAGGAACTTTGTGGTTCTCACGATGGAAACTTGCCGGATTTTATCTGGATAATTCCTTAACATGACATGAACGAAAAGATTAAAAAAAATGGTAAATTTCAGCATCTCACCTCCATCTCCATTCTTCCCATCCCCATGACATCATATTTAAGGACAATGGGCACAGGGTCGGTGCGTCCTGAGCCAAAAGAGACAGAGAACACTAGTTGAGTCTTAGATTTTGGACAAAACATTCATTCGAAGACAGCCTGCTTTTAGAGCATAGGGTGCTGGGGTTAGAGTTTTTTGTTGTTGTTTTTTTTGCCTTGAAAGTGCAAAGAAACCAGAAAGCTACAGTGAACCAAACACCAGCCATTCTCACAGCTTACTACAGCCACCTCAACTGAAGTGGGCTACATTGTCTTAATGTGACCTTTGATTTGTATCTTAGGTGAACTAGATGAACTGTAGCTTTGTTAAATTCCTGATGGATTAAGAAGGACGAGTGGCATCACTATGCATTCATAGCTAGAGTTCTATTAGACCAAGTTTCTAAGGAAGCGAAAGCTTGAGTTCCTATACATGGTTGCAACACATCTCCACAGCCTCCTTTATCTCAAAATCTTTAATGGAAGAGGAACTCCCAAAAGTCAATGAAGCCAATTGCATAATCTCTTACAGGACTGTGTGAAACGAACACTTTTCACTGAGCTGAGACCTACTTTTTTATTACCATGTCAAATAAATTAATTCCTAATCCCTCAAGATATACAATGTAAGCTGTGAAAAGAGCTAGAACAGAAGGAAATTAACTTTAGAAAATGAAACCAAAAGACAATCAAAAACAGAATGAAACATTATAGATATGAAATATTTAAAAATCAAAACTACTTTAAAGATTGACACAAATTGCTTAATCCACTTATAATCAGCCAAACAAAGCAGAGAGAATGTAAACAAAAATAAAGACACAAGCACTGAACTACAGCAGAGTGATGTCACAGGCCAGGTGTTGCCATGTTGACAGTGCAAGGGAGGGGGGAGGGGGATACTTACCTGATAAAACATGGGGGGATGAGTAGGAGGAGGAAAGGGGAGGACAGACAGACAAATAGATAGAAAGACAGGGGAATCTCAAAACAAAAAGCATAAAAAGAATTTGGACTAGTCTGCTGCTCCTGATGCCAGCCAGAGACAAAAACCAATCTTACTGAAGGCGATTTTAATTCAGTTTGGTTTCAGTTTTTTTTTTTTTTTTCCTGCCATATTTTCACAATTGTCACCCCCGCCCGCCCAGATTTCTATGCATTCCCTTAGGCTTACCAAAAATAAATACCTGGACAGATTTGCTCCAAGTTTAAAGGAATGCCTCTGAAAATCAAAGAGAAGTTGCTTCCTTGTTAAACTGAGTAAGTAAAACAGACATTTTATGTAATTATCAGTCATTCCTGAGCTCGCCTTGGGTAATTAAGTCATTACAGCCCAATGACTTATCCCCCCCCCTGTAATCACTGATGCATGGACACTGTAACATGTCTTTGCCTGCCTGGACTTTCAGTCCCACTGCAGTGTCTCTGAGTTGGACAAGCTTTTAAACAGACATCTCACTCTTACCTCAATATTGTCATTAGCTTATTCAAATAGAGGAAGTAAGAGGAAATGGCTTCTGATGTGATACAGAGGACACAACTATACAGAAATATGTGTGGGTTTTACACTCTTTTACAAAAGGCATCAGAGCAGAGAAGCAAAGACAGTCTGGTCTTTTAGCCAGCCACTGCAGTGGTCTGTCTCAACTGAGTCACAAGCAAGGCCCAGAACTGACGGCTAATGAACGATTACAATGATCCCAGACTATCACCAGTCCTTATATACAGTGTCAATACCTCCACATTACCCCATTCCAGTGGAAACAAAGGGACCAGACAGAAAAAAATGTGCAGCTAAATCACAAGGTGTGAATCACAAGGTAAAAAAAAAAAAACTGAAAACAAAATGACAAATGTTCTAAGAGTAATACAGATGCATGGTAATATACAAGCAGCAGAATGAGGACTAGGACAGAGAGAATTGAAAGCCTATGTAGCATTGGTGCTCTGATGAGAGGAAAATGAAAATAATGGGAGAAATTAATAAGAAAAATAAAATTCAATTGGGGGATAAAATAACATTTACCACTAAGTTTACCATCAGCACAACATGGGCAGGATCATATCGCTGTAAAAAAGAAACACCAATTGGTTAAGCAGGAAGATTGAGGCACATAGAGAAGGGGAGGTGGGGTTGGGTGTGTGTGGGAGTGGGTTTGCAGAGCGTTCCCAGAGGGCCTTCCGTAAGTCACCGCCCACCCCCACCCACCTCATCCCTTTACTCAGGGCTATGTGCTTACAGGAATCTCCTCTCACCACTTATTCAAACCGTTTGTCCGAGTCCCCAGGCCCATAAAGTGGCACTGTCACTGTTTTGACTGTAAATGTAGCACAAGGAACCAGACTGCCATCCCCGTAAACTAAGCTTCTCCACTGCAGGATAATGTAAACAGTAATTTTAATACATAAAGGTCACAGATCATATTTGTCCTCCATTAAAATATAAAGTTTCCATCCTGTTTTCTAAATTATCAGGTATAATTCACACCAGAAACCAGGTGGCAATAAAAAAATAAGGGGAATACATAGAATTTCAGCACTTTATTACTATTATAAAAACCTGCAGTGAAGAAGCAGCTGCATTACACTACACAATGTATTCTATGTATGTCTATAAGAAATATTTTACTTAAAGAAGATTTAAAAAAAAAAAAAAAAAATCAGAGTATTTTAACAAAGAGAACACCAGATGAAGAAAAAGTATAAAATACATTTAGGCACGGGCCAGTATGAGATCCTTACAATAAACAGAAATAAAAATCATTTAAAAAACAGTAAAATCTAATTGTCTGGGCATGGCCAGAGAAGTGCTGCAAGTGGTGAACACACCCCTCACTTTTTTCTATCTTTTCATGAGGCAGCACTGAAAATATGACAGCTGGTGTAACATTAAAGTTTTGCCTACCCCACAAAATAACATGAAACCATTAATGTGACACCACTAACAACAAAGTAACGTGTTACTTTTTCTACTGATATAGGCCTAATTTTTAACATTAAATGTCTCGACAGAGAACACTTGCCAACCTTAAATAAATGCTTGCTCATTGAAGTTTTATACATAACGCTACAATTGATATAAAGGAGTTACATAAATGACAACAATACACAATAAATAGTCTTTTTACATATTCTTTCATGCATGAGCATAAAAAAAACTGGTCATGCCTTTAGAGTCTGGGGGTTGAAGTCAGGCCGCCTCTGTTACTGAATTGCCAAGCGAGCTAGCTACAGCCCTGCATCAGTTAGCATATATAAGAACAAGCAGGTTTATATCATCATTCGAGTGATTAAGTGATGGAGTAGGGTTTGTACGACAAGCTAGCTGCAGAACTTAAAAGTGTAAGCAAAACTTTGGGAGAAATAAGGGAACATATTCAAATTAAATTCAAAGCATTTGCTCAGGAAACAACAACAGGATTTATAAACCACCTTTTGATGGACATTAATGCTCTGAAATGAGTGCTATAGTGAGACTTTGAACAGCTTTTAGAAATGGAGATGTAACAAATGATCCCCTCCCCATTTGTTTTTCTACACTGGCTTTATTTCTGAAAGCTTACAGCAAAGCAAGGTTATTAGTGGCCCGTCTTTACGGTTTGACCCAAAAAAAAAAAACTGAAACCCACGTAATCTAAAACTTTCTCTGTATCCAATGCGGTACAAGTGGCTTCATGCATAAAGACGGTCTAAAGGACCTTTTTCCAAACCCATCTTAAAGAATATTGACCTCAATAAAATTACCTGACCCGTGCCTAAATCTGCAATGTTTTTTTCTTTTAAAAGATAAGTAAAAAAAGGATTTTTCGATTCATGCCTCTCGGGAAGACCACCATTTTCCCCCTCTAAGCTTTTTGCCTTGCATAAGCTTGTTATAGCCCTCTCAACAATTCTCCTCAAGATCATTTTCCCCCAGCTTGTCTACAGCCAGCAAGCTTAGTCTGGGATATGCTTAACCCCACAACAAATAAAAACATAAAACATAGGAACGTACCTGAAAAAGTAGCCAGACAGGCTTTTAGCAGTGTTCAGAGTCTTTCCCATATCGCTATAGGTGGAAATGAGAAACAATATAACTGTGTCCACTTCTTTTTTTTAGTTTTACACCGTTTTTATTTAATGATTATTGTGGTTTAGCATCCTACCTCCAACACTGCTTAAAGCCTCTGGTAAGTAACAGATTGAGGCAAGCAGGAGTGCACCTCTGGGTAAACATGCTGTGCAGAAGGGGGCAAAGAAACAGGGGGAGGATGAAAGTCTGTACCATGGGGACAGAGACACTCCGAGTGTAAAAAGGTGGAGAGGTTTTCCCTGTAAGTTGACTATACGGCCCGGTAAGTAGCAGACATACACATCTCAGTCCCACATAATGACCACGCACATACAAACACAACTTTTCACTGTTTTAGAGGTAGAAATAGGTAAACAAGCAGAAGGGGAGAACTTTTCTACACGGCAAGCCATTCAAAGTCTGAGCCGTGGTTACAGCCAATCAGATTACTTCAACAGCAGCCACGGAAACTCAAAGAGAGGGGGGGAAAAAATCTAAAATACATGGAGATGATGATTCTAGGGGATGTGAATCATTATTCATGGGTTCCTAAATCTACTTTGATTTCACATGGATCTTGAATCTTTGCACAAATCGAAGCGTTTTCTCTTAAGCAGATTGAAATAAAGGTTTAGTGAGTATGAAGCAAAGAGGAAGAAGCTGACAGAGGCCATTAGCCTATAATAAACTGTAAAAGGAGTATTACACTTAGGTCAACTGCAGAGTGGGAGAAAATAAAAACCACACCCACACATGCATACTGACATAGAGAGGGGATCCGACAAACCTTACCTAAAAGGGGCAAAAGGGACAAAAGAAGAACAAGAACAAAGTCAATACAGTGAAAAACGTAAAGAGGGGACAATGCTTTAACTTCAAATTTCAACAACTGTCTCTTCTGGCAGGGAGGACAGGAAAGAGGAGGAAGATTACCATGATTACCCAGCATACTTCGATGAGATGTGATGCTGTGATTAATATGTGAGCCTACTCACAAGTTTGAGAGGGAAGCGGTCTCTAAGCTGAGCCATTACTTCCTACACAACTGGACACAATTTGCTGCAGTCTCATCTGCCCACAATGTAGGATGCTTACGTAACCACATTAATTCTGCCAGCGGCACAAACAAGAGCACAGACATCCCTTGCAATGTTTTCTCTCCTCCACATCACTTCCAATATATTGCCATCTGACTCTTCAAGGCCGGATGGAAATAAACATGGATGGAAATTTCTGCCGGGCTGCTGGCCTTCATGCTTTTGTCAGCTTGCCCAGAATGAAACAGCTTCCAGGTCTAATCCGCTCACTAGCTTCATTCATGCTGAAAATACCTCAGAGACAACACAAGAAACTAAGGCTATATATGTACATAAACTAAAAGATAGCTGGGCAGCAACAAAATGGAAAAACCCACTACCAGACAATAAACTTCCCTGTGGTGCCAAGAGGATCTCACACTCAGCGTTTATCTTCAATTATTACAGGCAATCCCTAAAGCAAGATTAGGAATCTGAAGCCAAGTTATCTTTTGTTTTGAGCAAAGGTTTAGCAGTTTAAATTTTTTTGAAATGGAAATTTGTAGAACCAGCAAATAATGTCACACATGTTAAAATGCTGCTATTAGTTATGCAGGATTATTTCAGCACTACTTTACAAAGTACAGAAATGTTACAAGAAATGTTTTGTTTTGTTAATGTTTTGGGCTCAAACAGCTGAGTTGTTTTTCTGCTTAAAATACAAACATTTAGAACAGATGTCATTTAATATTGTCTACAAACAAAATGTACCATTGTAGTAGAGGAGGATGAATGGTTTATAAATGACTGAAATTATTAACAATTACACAATGATGTATTGGAGAATGTGGACAAGACAAAAAAAAAAAGCCTAAGGGGACATTAAGATGCCAGACTGGCATTCATGCACGATGCCAAATAACATCCTTTTAAGGTTAAGTTCTAAGATAACTGAGGATTAAAAAAATAAAAATTTAAGTAAACTGTTGCAAAGCAGAAAAAACGTGGAAAATACAAACAGGAAGTTAAACAACAACATTTTTGGAATTTGGGATTTTTGGAAACCTGCCAGGGTTTTGAGCCACTGCTACGTATCTATTTAGCATATGAACACAACAGGTTTAAACTAATGGTGTAGTAACAAGTGGACCGACCAGCCCACACAATCTCCTGCCTTTTATCTCAGTGAATCAATATCAACTCATTGCAAATGAAAGTAAAGGGACAGTTACTTCTATTCCAAAAAAATCTTATTAAAATGTTGCATCTGATACATTGGATCTTCTATAAAATGCTTAAAATGATCTTGTTTGGCAGTTGCAGTAAAAACTCATTTAAAATTGGCCCACATACAGGCTATTGGCATTCTTTAAACAGTAGAAAAAATTATGCTCTGAATTTTAAAAACCAACAAATTCTCTATTTTGTGGCCTGGATAACCAGATAAGACGATGCAACAACATAAGCAGAAAATGAAGGTGGATGTGAAGTTCAGTGCAGGTGCAACAACCACAGAGGTCCCCATTTGCTCATGCTAAGACTGTATGATGGACTTAACAGCTTTTCTTTTTTTTTTACACAGTTGGTTAAAGTTACCACTAGTCTGCAGAACTGCAAGCAGGTGTTTTAGCACATTGATTTATGCACGTACAGGTGTTTAATTTGAAGTATTTCAAATGTATTCACTTTGATTTTATGCTTTACATTGGGCAAAGTAGCTTAATTGCCTGTGTCCATATTATGGCACCAATAAATTTACAAAATGCTTTAATTTTAATGGCAATATTTGTTATCAAACACAAAAACGTTATGGCCAACATCCAAGATAATGGAATGTGTCTTATTTGGGGGTTCTGCAACACGTGATAAAATGCAAAATATTTCTTGAGTAAATTGAACTGAAATTGGATCTGTACATCTCATTTACTGCTAAACAAATGCTTCACTAAAAAAAAAAATCAGAAATTCCCCAAAGCTTAATTTCTTAAACCTAATTCTCTACAACACTCTGGGAATGCCTATCTTCAAGTACAAGAGAAAAGCAGAATGACAGAACTAGATCATGTTTGTTTCTTTGCAACTTGTTCCAGTGCAGAATCAGAAAAAGGAAGAGGGCAAATAGAGGATGTGAAGAGAAAAGAATCTGGTAGGGTATCATATATAACGAAACAAATAAAAATATGAGTAGGAAAAAAAAAAAAAAAAAGAAGAGAGTGGCTCAGTGCCACCAGCAAACGTTGAACATGAGTGTGCTTCAGAGTGAATCCTTACCCTGCATGGTCTTTCCAAGTCCTTGCCCCGACTTCCATCCATGCTTCTGAAGCAGCCGGTGTCCGATGTTATCCTGGCAGAGAGAAGAGAGGAGAAAAAAACCAAAAATATTCCAATAATAAGAGGAGCTATACCCTGTGAGCATGGATGAAAACATCAAGACAAACAAAACACTCAAATCACACTATCATCATAAGCACAACCACCACCACCATCACCATTGTCGTTATCATCATCATCACCTACAGCATGTAACAATCAGTGTCCTCCAGCACAAGGAGTGTTAGGGCAAGTAGGGGGAGAGGGGTAAAGGCTGGGGGACTTGGGTTGAAGGGTAGGATTGCCTCTATGTTAAATAAATGCATGACTTTTTGTGTGGTCTGTAACCTTTAGGATTTACTCCTACAATATAAATGTATTTAAAAAAGGGTTTTCAAGCAAAAAGAAAAAGAAAAAAATCTAGTATTATAATCCATTTAAACACATCAAATAACATCCACTATGTAAAAATTAGGAGGAGGAGGAAGGAGAGGGCAATATATATATATGTATCGCACGCATACATATATGATTCACTACAGAGTAGGATCTTAGTACACAAATAAAAGAGACAGAAACAGGTATGGAAATCTAGCAGTAACAAAATAAAGAGCAGAAACTCCAAGCTTGCTGTGAATCTGTAACCATGACAGGGGAAGGGGCACCATGGAACATTCAGCTGTCACATAAGTATAGCGAAAGGAAGAGACAGAAGTGGAGCTTTTGGGCCTTGGGTTACCATTACAAGGCCCAGAGTTGACTGGTTATGCATGTGTGAAGGGTTGTGTGGGTTTGAAGATGAAGAGAAGAGCAGTGTACCTCTAACCCCATTAGAAATAGTATAAATGACCGCAGAGCATTTTTTTGGACGCCTCATAATTTTTTTCCCATTTTATCAGGAATTGTCAGATTCCAACCATGTTAAAAGAAACGTGCCACCAACAATCTGTAAATTTGCTTAAATTTTTTTACTTATACTGACAATTTACTATATGACCAACGATTCTGGTTCGATCAGACAACTGGCAATGAGTAAAAGAGGCATAAGAGGCGGTCGAAAAAAATGCACAAGAGCAATTTCCAGCAAACTGTGGGGAAAACGAGCAAGTCATGTTATTTTACTATTATTGGTAAACACGTAACAAAAACTTTAAAGTGAAATGCAAGACCATCCCAACACTACACACTACAGTACATCCTCAAGCACATATAAAACAGGAAACAATGACATTTCTGTCTAAGCAGTGTTTTCTGTTGTGATTATAACTATTCCAAGCTTGTCTAACATTCACCAGAGTGCTGCATTCTATCAAAATCCATACAAATCAAACAGAAAGGATATTTATAATCACAAAGAGAATGACGTCGACTTTCACAAACAGAAAGTGAAGGGTAGGAAAAAAACATTATAGGAAAAGAAAAGAAAAAGCATGCTCCTTTTTGTTAAAATGCTTTTTAACAAAAAGGGTCGTCGGAGTTAGTAGGAGCACTGCGAGTGGTACACATACAGTGGTGTGGGCGGGGGGGTAGAGGGCAGGTGAACAAAACTCCAGCTGAGTTAGTCTGGGATGGATCAGGCACAGTGAGGGAGGATGGCTCAAGGCTTGAAGAGATCTCTTTGACAAGAGGTCAGGAAAATGGGCAGAACAGAGCAGGCTGAGCCATGAAGGAGGTATGTTCTCAGGTGGTGGAAGTGAGCTGGCTTTGGAATAGGTTAGTGCGTGTAAAGGAGGTGGTAGCCTCAAACACACGGCACACACTTCATCTCTGCCCATAATGGTGCAAGAACAGATTTGACTTATTCCTTTGTTTTAAATGACACATATAGTAGCCTGCTTTAGCTGCATTTAATGAATCGTCAGCTTTGGACAAAATAAAAACCATGTCATCCGTATAATTACACACGAACCATGTGACTGATTTATGCATTCTGGTCGAAAAAGATGAGGCCATCACAATCTGTTTATTGTGAAGTTTGGGATTTTCTGTGATTGGTACTTTTTTTTCCCTCTTCCACTCAGAACTGAATAGTTAAATTAAATGTTTCTCTTTGACAGATACTAATATCTTGGTTAATGACACTGGCTCTGAATGTTACTATTGTGCACTAACAGCATGAATGTCAATAATTTGTAGAACTTGCATGTGAAACTTAAAGGAACCCGTACGATTTAAATCCACTCAGAACTATGAGCATAAAAATACTTATGATACATTATCAAACATTATTTATAAATTGTGGCAAAGAATGATACATTAAGAACCTAAACTTCAAGTGTTTTTTATGGCATATTTCAAAAAATTTGGAGCAGGCAGGATGCAGCAACAGTTTGCACCTGTTAACAGTTAAGAGATTAGGTCAAGATGAGCTCTGTGGAGGTTGGTGGCCAGAGATGACGTGTACGCTGGGTGTTGGACAGCATATGAGTGCACCAAAAGAATAGACAGACGGATGAAAGCAACGACGGCGAGTCCAACAGCAGTGCAAGTGGAGTGAAGGCATTTCCATACGAACCTGGCTTTAAAATACTGGGCTGTCAAAAAAACAGTCACACGTGACACAACGTAAGAAACCGACCAAACGCTTTCAACGGCAATTCTGCTAGCTTATCTAGGTCTTAAAAATGCTAATCTCTCTCTCTTTCTCTGCCTTGAAACAAACATTAAACTGTACACAAACAGAAATGGCAGACATTTCAATACATCCACCAACTGACTGTTAATACAGGAGAAAGGAAATAAAACAAAATGTTAAAACAAAAGAGATCTAAAAGGGTGATGGGTTTTTTTATTGGCACAATGTGCCGTGATTGGCACAGTGCATGGGAAAAGATGTGGACAAGGGAAGTGATATGCAGGGGCCCCACCAAGAGACCTCAGAATTTGTATTTCTATTTATTGGTACTATATTTCCATGAGATTTCATCAAAATTGATGGAACATGTAAACAAGCCTAAATGTATTCAAAAACTAGCTTTTTAAAATTACTTTAGCAGTAGATGACCTTTGAAGTTCTTCTTGCAAAATCAGACATTTGAGGATCCGTTTCACAGGAAAAAGTAGCCGCTTCTAAAAGGACTTTGCTCCTTGTGAGTCTTTGCAGATTCTTTAGTTTAGGTCTTTGCATGTAACCAGTCAGTGTCAGACATGACAGGTGAGACTAAACCAAAACAGCTGTGGAGAAGTACATTAAGCTAAACTAGAACAATAAAAATCTGTTGTGCAAGTTACACTAAAATTAAGTTTTCCAAGGTTCTAAAAGTAAAACATGATGAGAAAAATGAAAGAAAACCAGAAAAGTCTGACAAAAGTCATCTAATTTACATATAATTATTCCAGAAAAAATAAACATACTTACCTTTTATTTCTGAAGCCCATATTTCAAAGACGGGAATTTAATAAACAATTATAAATCAATGTGATTACACATCTTCTCAGTTAGTTTCCCTAATTTTTCTTGTTTTATTTTGTATTTGAGGACAGAATTAGGTTTTATCCAACACCATTTACCTTCTTCCTTTAACCTCTGTTCACATCATAAAAGCTTATGCAGAATGAAGCAAGTGATGCTGTTTAAATAATGGTTCCTTAATGTTAAAATGGTGCTTTTTTTCCCCATGTGGTGTTCGAATTTCATTAGAACTAAAAAGTATCTCATGTCCTTTTAAGAGAAAGCATTTTGTTTGATAACAGTAAACAGTAACAACACGAAATGCTGCATACTCAAACAGCTATAGCTTTAACAGCATTTTGGGTAACTATATTAGTGTGTGCTTAACATGAGCACAAATTTTTTTTACTGCGAATTTAGTTTCCCTGCAGCATTCACGCATATTCCTTTCCTGTGAGCGTTCATGTTCTTCTGTGGCTCTGAGGCTGCCCACTGCATATCGCTGTGGTTCTGGCTTAAAAAAGGGGGAGGAAGGTGGATGGTAGATTTAAGGGATTGGGAGAAGTAAGAGACGAGAAGGGATGAGTCTCAGATTAAAAATTAAATTAAATTACAACACAGAGTGTTGAGAGCACATAGTGCTTAATGCTACCAAGTTAACACATGCAATGCAAAAACAGTGTTAGGAGAAAAGAGCAAAGACCAAAAGGGTAAGACAGGAATTAAAAGAGATCCCAATAAAATACCACAGACCTCTAGCTGCCTATATTTCACACACAAATAACGGCAAAGGGGGGTTCTGAGAAGCTGGGCTGAAGCATTTATGAAAAGCTCTAAAATAGGTATTTGAGGTCAAAATTAAGAAGAATAAGTAATTGTAATGATTTTGGATCATATCTATTAAGATCAATTCTGTTAAAGGCTAATTCAATGCATTTAATTAAACAATCTTCACACAATTATACTATTTTTGGAATTTTTCAATTCAACTACCTCAGATTTTGTATAACTCCTTCAGATTCTGCTGTTTTAGAGCCTACAATTGTAAGCAGAAGAGACTTAATACTGGCGACAAGGTGACACTTTACAGCTCCAACACCGCAGTGTTTTTTTTCCACAGATGTGTTAGGAGCCGTGTGGTGCTGCAGCATGCTCCTCAGCCCCCCTTCATGAATAATAGCGCAGGAGCAATATAGCTACTCAGAGCCAGGTAAGCAGGCCACTCTTTCTAACCTTTTCCTTTCTCCATCACTTACATGGAAAACAACACTGCTTTTGTTTGTCTGAGACTATTTCATCCTTAAACTTGAACTTACAAACCTGTGTAGGACCCACTGGGCATAGAACTAAAAATAAATACAATAAATGCATCTTAGTAATCTATGGAATTGTGCAAAGTTCCAGAATTTTAAGTAGAAACTATACTGAAGACGCTTGCTCAGTTCTACCTGAACACCATGGCTTATTGTAACACCCATAATAAACTTTTTAAATGGTATTTAACAAAAAATCCAAAAAAATTAAACAACTTTGTCATTCTGAACATTTCAGATTGACATCAAGCACGTTTAGTGCTATTGGACTGGTTCACGAACTGCATGAATAATGTCAAGGAAAGGTTTCCTGATGCTTTATAGGACAAAAGAGTTTAGGCCTGCTTACCAAAATGCATCAGAGAGCGAAAGGAGGGTGAAGAAAGTGAGGAGGACAGAAAAAGAGAGCTGCCTGCGCTATTATCAATGTGCCTCTTCAGCGAAAAATGCAGTCCCAGTTGCACAAGCACCATGCCAGCACAGAATGACAGAGGGTACTGTACACCGAATCACTGTGTAGAAGGGAAGGAGCAAGATAGAGAAGGGAAGGTAGAAGGAGAGAATAAGATGTCAGGTGTGAAAGTCGTGAAACAGAAAGAGTAAAGTGAGAAAGAAGGACAGAGTAGCGTTACAAAGGACCCTAAAGATAAGGAGTAAGGAAGCAGAGCGTGCAAATACAAACCGGGTCATTGCTGCTTAGCTAATAGGGGGCCAATTCGCTGCAGGAGAGAAATGTCGAACACCCCAAGTTGTGTACAATAAGATAACTGTCCTATAAATACAAATACTATACACTAACACATACATTCTAAAAGCTACATAAACAAACACTCAGTCAAACACAAATGTAATCATTCACACCAGCTAATGACCACGCTCTTCTTTACAAAGTAAATGGAATAAGCACTGCCTTGTTTTATCCATAAAATCAATTCAACCTAATGCAAAACGAAATCTGATGTACATCTTTTTTGCATAAAAGTAATCAAACTAAAATGTAAGATTGCTTAATTTATGGCTATGGCTTTTTCGGTTTTAAACTTGTAAACAGCTATGGTATTAAGACAACAGCTGATCTGACAGTGCTTCATCCACTTTATGCTTATCGGTTTATCTCAGTCTGCTAAGATGACTAACAATGACTAATGTGAGACTGTTACAAAAAAAATTTAAAAATTACTAATGATTATCTGGGAGCTGTACAAATAACAGGAAGATCTAGAGTCTAAATCATGTTCTTATATGTCACAGAAGAAATGAAATAGGTCAGGGATATGAGAAGTGGGAGTGAATTAAAGGGAATTATGGACACTGACGGGTAGTGATTCTACAGGTTAGGTGGCAAGAGTGTTCAAGGAAACACTAGATGCTTCTACATGGACAAAATGAAGTAAAGACATGGCTCTTATTCCTCCCTGGACCAATCATATCCACTCTCACAGCTGGTCCAATGGTGAGGGACGATGGATCCAACCTTACCGATTCGATTGGCTTGTCCAAGGACGCCTGCTCCAGCTCCAACTGGCCTTCTTCATACTGGTCAAAGTGATTCCCACCCTAATGAACAAACATACATCCAACATTACTAACCTTATTCTGAAAAAACAAAACAATTACATGTTGTTTAATATACAACAAAATACACAGAATTTACCAATTGTATTGCAATGCATAAAACTTTTGGTCACCCCTGATTCCCCGTCTAATGTTTAACTGTTGGAAAATCCAAATTCATTGATTTGTTGGTGTGAGCCAATACTTTATGCAAATTACTGCATGTGCACCATCACACAAGTAAGCAATTTCAGGATCTTGTCACAGTTTAGCAATTGTTAGGTCAGATTAACGGTCAAAGGGAAGCAACCAAACTGTACCTTAGTTTTGGAAGTTAAATGGTTAAAAATTCAGTTTACTGTTAGATTTTAAGGAAGATGGGCTACAAAGAGATTTTCTTATAATGCGGTTGGAATAGTAAGTTGATTGTTAGAATAGGGAGGAACAAATTCATTGCAACATACATTTCATTGTCATACATCTCAACTAAATTACGATATCCATTTTTGTTAATTTCACTTATTCTCAAGGGACCAAAATTAATTAAATAAATAAATGCACTAGTCTAAAACCAGTTTATGTAAGTAAACGATTTACAAAAACCAGAGATCACAAAATCAGCCATAATCTCTTAAGTGTTGCTTCTGGTTCAGCTCTGGGCAGATCTGCTCTTCAGACGCAGAGTAGATCTGGGTTATGTTTGTATTTATGCCCATAAATGCAAAATGATATATTACTGCATAAAAGCTATAAAACTGGTTTAGAGACATTGAATAGAATGCTGGTGGAAAGCTAAACATAAGGCCCATATTGAAAAAATACACAACATTCAAACTACTGTGTATTACATTTATTATGGTATTTAACCAATTATAGCTGTTCTACCAAAATGGACTATGAGGGTTCACTGCAATAACATTATAAATTCAATTTAAATTATTTTATTTATATAGTACCAATACACGACACATGTCATCTCAAGTCACTTTACAATTAAACCAGAGTGTGCAGGATGAAATAAACTAATTTGTAGGCATCATTTGAGATTAAGTTAAACTCCATGTAATTAAACTTTTCAGGATTACTATATGATGCAATGGAGGGGAGTATTTTTTCTGAAAATTTAGTAACTTGATGTTTTTCTCCCATATTTTTTTCTTTTGGCTTTTTACTTAGACTGCATCAGTACTCTATGCATTGCCAGATGTTCTCCACAACAGTTCCTTACTTGTTTCTGTTCTGTGACCAAAATATAATGCCTACTGCAAAGCTAAACATGAAGTTTTTCCTCTCCTATACTGGTCATTACAAAAATAACATTTTCTGTAAACATGTTGACACGTTAAGCTTTGCCATTTTAATACTTTCAGCAGCCCAATTTAAAAGAATAAAGCAAATAGGCTCTTGGCTGAGTTGTGCAGTGGTTAGACCATGCATGAGTATTTTCTGTATTGCGCTGCTTAGCACCAAGCTTTAATCCATGAAGAAACTTTGTGAATACTGAGCATATGAATGCATTCACTGCAGATCTCACACACAGAGCTTCACTGTGCTGGGCCTGCTTTTCTCAACAGACTCATTCAGACCACACACCAATCAGGTTCTTGTAAACAAAACAGCTGAAAAAACTGTTCTTCAGCAGACTCATTTAGGTGTAAAAAAAAAAAAAAAAAAACCCATCGTCGCTTAAAAATCAGACTAATGAGCAATACAAAGAGGACGATAAGCTAAACAGAAATCAATGAAGCAAGCTCTAACTAAAGCAGCACACAAATCTTATCTGGTAAATTTTGACCCCTGGGCAATAAATTAATGAGACGAAAGTGCATAGTAGGAATCCACATTCTGCACCCATAGCAGTCAAACAAAAAGCAACTTCTACCTACAGAAGCATAAAAACCTTTATAAACTTTATATATTTGATCTTATGGATATACGCTGCAATGTGACACATAGGAACCAGAAAAGCATTCACTGGATGCAAATGTTTATCGAAAACACACACCCTAACAAGAAAAACACGATCATTTTGTAGGGGAAAAAAACGAGTTTAACTTAATCTGGGTGTGGTCACAGATCTGTGATAAGCAAGAAAAAGAAACAGCTCTAACACAGATGGTTAAATTATGTCAACATTCTTGCATTTATTTGGAAAGCAACATGATGGCAAGGGAATGTTGCAAAAACTCTGGTATTGGGTTTGGACGTAAAAATATACGTTTAAAATGAGTTTGTGATTGTTGACACCGTGTCTAGGTTAAACCTAATTTGTTTGCAGGAAAAATGAAAATGGATGCCATTAAAAAGAAAAAAAAAACAATAATAGATCCAATATCGCAAATGAAATTTGGTAAATTTACATCGCTTGCAGTTTCATTCCTATTAGCAGAAACAGAAGGCAGTATACCAACGTCTTTAAGCCATTGTTATCTAGATCTAAAATTACACGTTATAAGCCTTAAAGTATCGATTTCAGGCCAACTAAAACGATAATATTACAAGTTTACAGTTACGATATCATTACAATTCTATAAGCACGAACTGTTTACCATTTGATGGTAAAACATGAAAAACAGCCGAAATATAGCCTTATGTTAGCCAAGCTGACATCGTTAGCATATTTTGATAAACAACCCGCAAACCCAAGGTCACTAAGTAGCCGGCGTGTTTTTATATATTTCTTCATTGTTAAGGTGTTTAATTAATTAAAATAACACGAATGACCTGATACTACAACAAAACGTCGATAAGAGGAGTAAAACTCGGACGCGTTTAGAAAATTTTGACACAGAACCGCAGTGAAGCTAGCGTTAGCTTAGCTAGCTTGCAGTGCTAGCAAGCAGCTTGTAGCACCGAAATGCGCACAGTTGGCTGTAAAGTACGGGCTGTTTTATAACGTCTAAGCCACCTCCGGTAATCTATAATACTCCGACGTGCTCAATTCGTTAAACGTTCTCGGTATTTTGATGTGCATTACCTGGAAATCACGTTCTTCGTTGAACCTAGAAAACCTGTCGGCCATTTTCTGAACACAGCTGCAGTTTGAGTCCGATGGAAGCGCCTGGCGGTGAAGCAACGATTCACACTGCGGAGGATTTCAGCCTCACTCCTGTCACAACATTTCCCTGTCACACAGAGGAAACCCTGTCCTTCATGGCTGAAGCATTGTGGTTTATTCACTTTTTTTTAAGTTCAGGAAAACATTTGCTAAACAACAGCAATGACTCACTAAATGACAACATTTTATGACAGCATAAATATAATTTGAGGGAGCATCCGTGGTAATTAGCTTGATATTCATTGTAGTAAAATTGGAACTTGTGGTCTCTCTTCATTAGTTCCATGCAAAATCCATGCAATTGTTTTAATTTCAAAGGAAAAAAAAAAAAAAAAAAAAAAAAATATATATATATATATATATATATATATATATATATATATATATATATATATATATATATATATATGTGTGTGTGTGTGTGTGTGTGTGGGTGTGTGTGGGTGTGTGTGTGTGTGTGTGTGTGTGTGTGTGTGTGTGTGTATGTATTTTTTTACATTAGGGGTGTGCAAAAACACACACAATGTGTTGGCAATACCTCCAAAAGTTGTTTCAAAAATAGAGCTATGTACTATGAATTCAGTTGCTTTCAGTTATGTATCAATTGAAGACACTATAAAGATCACACACAGCACATCAGCATCACAATAGCACCTATATATATATATATATATATATATATATATATATATATATATATATATATATGGTATCACAAAACAATTTTCATGGATTTAATGGCCATAATTTACAGATGATTTTTCAAGTTATGTAAATACACTGAATTCTTAGATTTAGAATACATTTATTGCCATTTTGTATACACAGAGTGTATACAAAACAAAATTTCGTTTTGTACAGTTCTCATGACATTTCCATTTTCCTAAAGTGCGGCAGTGATAAAAAATGTAAACATTGTAGGAGAAAATAAAGATGGTGCAAAAAACGCATTCATATGGTCAGCTTGATGCAGAGTCTGTGACATGATTTAGAGCTTTTAGATGAAGTAATTATAATTTGTGAGTATTTTGGTAATTTTAACAGATTCCTTAATAGAGTGGACGTGTAGAATCAAGGCCATATAACATATAACAGGACATTATTGTTAATAAAAAAAATATTGCATTGAATGAAACGGATCAATGAGAAAAAAAAATAGTTTAAAAGAACAAAAGTGAATGGTGATGCCACATAATAATACGTTCAAAAGTTGGAAACAGTTGCACTTTTTCATCCATCCATCCATCCATCCATCCATCCATCCATCCATCCATCCATCCATCCTTCTATGCATATTCTACTGCTTATTCCATCAAGGTTAAAGTGGTCAGTTGTCTATCTCCGGCAATCTGTGGGTGAAGGGTGGGGTACCCCCGGACAGCTGTTTTACCCTCTGTCTTCCACATACCTTTTTTAAATATTCTTTTAATAAATGCATCTTTGTTTATGCTTTTTTTCTTCTACAGAAATCAAAGAACATGATCCTCACAGTGCTGTCTACCTTGCCTAAGTGAAAGTGGATTTGGTGAAGCAGGTTCATGATGGCATCTACACCCCCAACTCCATGGCAATAGGCAAACAGCAGGGGGTCCTGTTGCTGCTTTTGTTCATGCTCACGTGGACCAACAGAAGTCTCTCTAGGACCTTTTGTGATTTGGGATTTACCTCAACAGATCTATAGTCATTGAGGAATCTAAGCTGAGGTTTCTTTGGTATGGAAACAAGGCAGGTTTACCACATCGCTGAAACTGTCTCCTGGGTCAGGTTAAGGTTGAAGAGGTATTCTAGAATCCCATAGAGCTGCTCTGCACAGACCTTAAGGGCTCTGGGGCTGACAACATCTGGACCTGGTAACTTATTGTGATTCAGTCATCCTAGTTGCCTCTTTATTTTACTTCTAAAGAACCATTTTCATTATTTTCTGATTAAAAAACTTTTTTGGTGTAAGATGAAAGCTTTAAGTCAAAGGAGGGAGTAATCTGTCCTTTGGATTGTGGGAAGAAGAGAAGGATTGCAGAGCTTTTTTTGAGCTCAGCCTATTGAAGAATCTATTCAGTTCGTTAACAGTCTCTGTCCAGACTTCCATCTGTCTGATCACCCTTCTGTTTGAAGCCTGTGATCATCTTCAACCCTGATAACACATCTCTGATATTGCTCAACTGGAGCTTGCATTTTAGCTTTTTCCTGCATGCCCCTTTGCTTTCTTATATGTATCTTGATTGAAAATCACCTCTGAATATTCCTCAATAATTCCTTGTAAGAGAATTGTAATTATTTTTTTGTTTAGGAGTTCTTTCTGATCATTGGTGAACCAGGGTTTACTAATGGAGAAGCATCTCACTGACTTAGACTTAAACTTTATTTTTTGTTTAGTGCAGTGCAAAAAAATGGTGGAAAAGGCAGTACTGTATAAAACATTGAGTTGTGTCCTATTTAAAAGGATTGTAAAAGTTCTGCAATATTGTTATGCAAAATAATGTGAGGCAGAATCAGATTAGAGTTCAACAGGCTGATTGTAGCGGGTAAAAAGCTGTTGCAGAACATGCTGGTTTTGCAGCAAATACTGCATAACCTCTTCCCAGAGGGCAGCAGGGTGAACAGTTCATGGTAGGGGTGTGAGGGGTCACAGAAGAGGATACAGGCTAGGGACACGCAGCGCTGGGATGAAATTTCTTTTACGAAGGGGAGAGGAGCCCCGATGATCTTCGCTGCTGTTCTCACCACTATTTTCACCTTCTTCCAGTCTTCTTCCACACCACACAGTGTGACAGCTGGTCAGAACACTCTCTATGCTGCTTCCGTAGAAGGTCGTGTGGATGGGCAGGGGCAGTTGGGCTCTCCTCATCCTTCGCAGGAAGGACAAGCACTTCTGTGCCCACTGTTCAGGTGAGGATCTTGTTGTCTACAGAGAAGTTTATGTAGTCTCACACTTAGTTGTTGAATTGATGTCCTCTCCATGTAGCTGACACAGTGTATCTAAATATTTAGCCTTAAAACAACCTTGCAGGACTTCCTCAGCTTCCTGTGACCATCTCCTCAAAGATCCATGCAGTTTGTTATAAAGGGGCTTACACTCTGAACAGAGGAAAACAATATTGTGATTTGATTTCCCCAGAGGAGGTCTTACCTTAGATAAGTGTAAGTTGTGGACGTTTGTGTATAACAAGTCCAAAGTTTTTTAGCTGGTAGAATAGTTTTAATCAATACTCTTTCAAGATGTAACAATACTACAATCAAATGCAGTTTTAAATCTACAAACAGACCGTAATAGTTTAATGTCAGGTGTCTGTAATTATGCAAATTCATTAAGACAGAAATATAAAAAAAAACATTTTTCATCAGACTCATAAAGTTTAAGAAATGTATACTATACAAATTAAACAAAGAATCCAAATAAATGCTTGTATAATGACTCCATCTTGTGTCAAATCAATGCCATTACATGTCTTTTCATTTACAAATATATATTTTTTTTATTAGTTTTTTTGTTATTGGAAGACTTCAAACCAAACAGCCTAGTATCATTTTCATAAATAGTAAACATATTTATTTATTTCTGTATTTTTCAATTTCAACCAAAGCCACCTATGAATGGGGATTTAAAATATAGCTAATATTGGTGGAAAATGCACTGCAGGTAATACTTTAATGACAAAAGGGTTAAAATAACCAAATCTAAAGCAAGCATTGCAATGAAGCTTTATGATGAGGACTTCTGATTTCCCCTTTTTTTTAAAGAGTCAATATAGTTTCTGAGCCTCTCAGAGTGAGGAGGTCTCTGGTGGCCTGGGGGTTCTACATGTTTATACATGTAGAATAAACCACTTAGTGCCTTAAAGACCATCAACATGATTTTAAATTCTACTATTTCACTAACAGGAAGTAAGGTTGGTTTAGTGCGATCCAGTATCTTGCTGTTGGTCAGGACTCCAACTGCACCATTTTGGACAGAGGCAGCTGCCTGATATGTCGGAATAATTTAACCTACTGAAAATAAACTTATGAATCCCTTTTATTCTCTGTGTCTTCCTGTCATTTGAAACAATCTATTAAAACCATTTTTTGAAATTAGTGGTGGACTGGTATTTTGATAGATTTTATTTTGTTATCAAAGTTCACATTCATCATAATGCCTTAAAAAAATAAATAAATAAAACAATCAAACGAACACAACATCTCTGGACTGAAGACAGTCTTCTGTGTTTTCTGAGTTTGTCTTTAGGAAATTTGGACCGATCCACTAATGGATAGTTTTTATATACTTTACTTTTTTTGACTGTGGTGGACTATGGTCACGTCACGTGATAGCACATATAGAGCTGCATGTTATCAGCATAGATGTTGTAGTAGATGCAGTGCTCCATACTGTAAGTGAATAGGTAAAAAGTAAAAAAGGTGAATGAATGTCTGGAAAACGACCAGTAACTTAAAGGTCCATACATTTGTATTAAAAAGGGCAAAACTGTGGCAAAGATCAACAGCTGCACTGATCTAATGTCCACAGAGCAGAGATTGCAGGGCACATTACTCTAGACCAGGGGTCACCAACGTGGATGCTCTTGACCGTCCAAACGGTTGCAAAAACTCATGTACTCAACATGCTGCAGAGTTTCAGATTTACAGCACAGTTTTCACTCAAATAGTTCTCCATTATATTTATTATTCATTATGCAAACTGATGGACTCTGTCAAGCTCAAGTATACCTGAGGTAGAGCTTAGTAATTATCCAATAAATTATTTATCTACATTGAATTTGATTTATACTGAAACAGCTTTATTCAATTCTCTAACTCAATCAGAATGTGGATTCATTATTTTATTACTAAATATCCAGCACTAATTGGATTAAAGACCAAACTCAAATTCACTAGAAGATATTATTGTTTTAAAATATTCATCCATTTTCTGACACGCATTATCCCAAGTGGGGTTGCGAGGGGTGCTGGTGCCTATCTCCAGCTGTCTACGTGCAAATGGCGGGATACACCCTGGACAGGTTCCCAGTCCATTGCAAGGCAACACAGAGACAAACAACCATTCACTCACACCTAAGGAGAATTTGGAGAAGCCATT